CAAAGTGGTCAGTTGACCCCTTAAGTAGTTATTGCCCTTTATAGTCAATTTTTTACAATTTTCATAAAATTTGGAAAATTTTGTAAATTTTTACAAAATATTTTCCACTGTAACTACTGGGCCAAGTTCATTATAGATAGAGATAATTGTAAGCAGCAAGAATGTTCAGTAAAGTAAGATCTACAAACACATCACCATCACCAAAACACAATTTTGTCATGAATCCACCTGTGTCCTTTGTTTAAGATGCACATAGACCAAGGTGAGCGACACAGGCTCTTTAGAGCCTCTAGTTAATTACCCCAGGTCTGTTCTGGGAAGATTTGTACACATCTCACTGGCTTTTAATTCTTAAATCATACAGATACATAGAATCTGTTAGAAGAAAAATATCAGCGATAAAATATGTGTGGAAAAAAACTTATTTTGAAAACTACAATAGACAGAAACTGTAAACAGCAAAAATGATGAGCAATACAAGATCTAAAAAAAAAGCAAACATGAGCGAAACCATTATTTACCTCTATATAAGAGTTATTGACCTTACATGATGGTTTTAAGGAACTTTGATGTTACGATTTAAAATATAACGATAAGGAAATGTGGTATGATCGCCAGTGAGAAAACTATCTACCAAAGGTCAAATGACGTGGATATAAGCAATTAAAGGTCACCGTACGGCCAAAAACGATGAGAAAAACCCGTTATAAAACGATTCCGTATAGTCAGGCTATAAAAGGCTGCGACATGAAAACTGTGAAACAAATAAAACGAGAAAAAATAACGGCCTAATCTTAACAATACAGTTTACGAAAAACAAATATGACAGACATAAACCAACAACCACCACTGAATTACAGGTTCCTTACTTGGCACAGGCACATAACGAATGTGGCAGAGATAAACTTGATTGTGAGCTATCAATCTTCCCCTTACCATGTAATATTACAACATAAGAATACACTGTAAAATTTGTTGCAAATGGCTTAATCAATAGTTCGGTACGAAGCACAACAAACAACTAACATAAAATCATTAACACAAAACACGATACTCACAGTTACTGAAAGTTAGTTTCTAGCCAATTACAACTAATAAAAAAACCATGTTATCCCAAACTAAAGTAGCAATCAGTGCAGATCCAACTGATTTAGTATAAAGACGGTGATAAAAACACATGACCTTCTGCAATGCCAAATTGTATGTTATCATTATCGATAGGCTATCGATCCTTTAAATAAACTTATTCTAAAAGGTTACCAATTCAACACTGTAATTAGATCATTCAATATTGTTTTAATTGGTACTAATATTGATTTTGTTATCAGTAAATTAAAAGCAAACTAAATATTATTGATATATATACATATACACATTCATGGATCTACAATCTGTCGATACCTGTATCTTGGCATTTTCTCTGACTGTTTATGACGTCTTTACAAGAAATCCATTGGATGTTGGATATGTACGGACTGATAATTTAGTGTTAGATGCATGATTTTTTATTAGTTGTTAGTGGCTTTGAACTAGCTGTCAGTAACTGCAATTACTCTCAGATCTGTACTTAGTGTCTTTTTAGTGTTTGGATGTACAAGTACCCGGTCACGTCCACCTGTATTTGTAGTATTTGTATTTTTATCCATCTGATGAGTTAAGCCTCTTTCAACTGATTTTTATAGTTCGTTCTTATGTTGTACTGTTACACCACTGTCCCAGGTTTAGGGGAGGGTTGGGATCCCGCTAACATGTTTAACCCCGCCACATTCTCTATGTATGTGCCTGTCCCAAGTCAGGAGCCTGTAATTCAGTGGTTGGCGTTTGTTTATGTGTTGCATATTTATCATTCGTTCATTTTTTGTACATAAATTAGGCCGTTAGTTTTCTCGTTCGAATTGTTTTACATTGTCATTTCGGGGCCTTTTATAGCGGACTGTGCGGTATGGGCTTTACTCATTGTTGAAGGCCGTACGGTGACCTATAGTTGTTAATTTCTGTGTCATTTGGTCTCTTGTGGAGAGTTGACTCATTGGCAATCATACCACATCTTCTTTTTTATATATAATAAGATCATGGGTACATATAGTAAAGGAGTAGGCCCAGTAAGACCCCATTTTTGTCCCAAAATATAACATTTGAAAAAAATTGTTAAAAATGTAAATTTTTAGCTATTTATTGGAAAGTTTAATACTTTTGTTACATAAATATTGGCTGTTTTTGACAATACAGTGCACATGCATCAAGTATTAGCATCATTAATTCATGCAAAATTAATGAAATCTTCACAATTTTAGCATTTTTGCTTATATTTAGACGGTTTTTGTCTAAAATGGTAGTGGCCGCACTTGTGTTCAGTCTTAATATTAAAATATATGTTGTATTTGATAATAATACATAACATATATAAAGGTTGAGACTGAACACGAATGCGGCCACTTCCATTTTTGACAAAGACAATATAAAAAGTGACGTTTTGTGGCATATTTGATAGATTTTAATACTTAAGCTTGCATTTAGACGTCTTTAATGACCAAATCATTTCAAATCTTTTACTTAAACTAATTGAATCGACTGAAGAAAATACCTAATTGTTTAAAAAATGTCAAAAATCTTGTATCAGATGTACTTCAAATTTTGGGCCAAAATAAGACCTTACCGGACCTTCTCCTTTAAAGAGTGATTTATTTTTACCGATTTGTTTTTACATGAAAATGACTTGTTTTAACATTTAAACCACATTTAAGCTAATGTATCATACATGAGATTCAAATTCAAAAGTTGTGGATGGGACAAACGACTTATTAATAATTTGTGTTCTATTAGGAAGAAATTACTAGTAAACAATTTGTAGATTTCACAAAATAATGAACAGTTTTAATTTGTAAAGTTTACAAATGCATTTCCACGCCGACCTTTCAAGAACAGTTAACAAAACAATTATGTTTTATATCAAGTTTGAAATGTTAAATTATTTTTTGTCTTTTTCCTAAGACGTAGCGATTACAACTTTGTTTTAAACACATCTCTTTTTTGTGCTTAAGAAGTAATATTATATCCCTCAATGTAATTGAAACTTAGTGAATCTAAACAACTATAGCACAAGAGCGAAGTGCAAATGGCTAAGCCCTAACAAATAGATAAATGCATTGATCGTCAGTGATATATGTTAAGAATATCGAGGCCGTTTCGTGGTATTCTTTAAATGAAAATGCCAAAAAAATGAATAGGTCACTGAAAGTGTTCAAAATGTTCATAATTTATAAGGATTAAATATTGAAGTACGAATTTTGACTGATAAGAAAGAAAACTAAATTATATAATTGTTAAATAAAGTATAAGCTGTAAAGTCTTCTAAATAGAGAATAAAAGGAAAAATGTTTACCGTACTGGTTTTTTGTTTGTTTGTTTGTTTATTCGGTTTTTAATTAATTTATTTTTTTGGTGGGGGTTGTTTTTAAATTATTGACCGGTAACTTGATGCCATTTACTATCCAAGATGGCATCAGGCTTTCGTACTACCTTAAGTATTACAAAGACGATAATGTACTCGTGTTAAACGTCCAGTGAGAAATATTGAATGCATATCCGGTCGAGAACGCCACGCTATACGAACACATTTTGCTGACTATAACATAAATGTATTCTATCAATTCTGTCATTTACCAAAAACAAGCTTTTCTCTTTCTTGTAGGTATTTGTGAACCTGTTGGGAGTGCTCTATGTATAATGGAGCAAGGTTTCACATGCAATGACTTAGAGAACAGTGCCAATCTTAAGCCCTAAAATGATTATTAATAAAAAGCAGTAGTTTCTTCATGACAGATTTTATGTGTATTAAATACAAGATATTGAATAATAAATGCACTGAAATCTAATTGATATATAACAAATTTGCATGAAAATATATTTCTTAACAATAATCAATGAAAAGTAAAATAACAAAAATACCGAACTCAGAGGAAAATTCTAGACGGGAAGTCCATAAACAAATGGCAAAATCAAAAGCTCAAACACATCAAACGAATGGAAAACAACTGTCATATTCCTGACTTGTTACAGGCATTTTCTTATGTAGAAAATGGTGGATTAAACCTGGATTTATAGCTAGCTAAACCTCTCACTTGTATGACAAATTATAACATATTATAGCATACACCATTATATTCAATATCCTTCCATTTTTTTTTAGAATAATCGGTATGACAATACAGCAGCACGACTGAACAATATTGTTAACCTCTTTTCTCTTTATATTGTAAAATGAAGATTATCTCGGCTATAGTCTCTTTAGATTCCGCTAAGTTCTCGTAAGCAGCTTAATTCTAAGAATTGGAATGGACGAAATGCTTTTATCACAGTGTTTAGGGGGTAGCTGGTTGGGAGAAGGGAATTGGTATTTGTCTATGTAATAAATAAGTAAACAACAAAATGAGGAAAACTAAATACGGTATAGTGATATAACATTTAGAATCTAAATAGATATTATTGTGTTCTAGAATACAGACAGAACCGTGTGTACATGTATATCTCAACGAAACAGTACTAAGTTAACTTCATAGGAAATGCTTTAAACACGAGGAAAAGGAATAATGGTGTCAGTCTTTGGTAAAAATAAATAAACGACACAATGAGGGAAAGCAAACTGTTAAAAAATGTTTAAATTTTTAATAAATATAAATATGTTCCAGAAACAGACAGAACCTTGTGTATATCGCAACGGAACAGGAAACAGTAAACATTTGTTATGTTCAATCTGGACAAATGGAGTCTTACAGTTCAGATTATTCTTCTTTTTTATAAAAATCGTTGTCCCAGTTAGCAGTATTATGGTACCCTATAAAATTACAGAGTGGTTAGTGATTAAAAATCTAGGCTTGGGTTTTTCAAACTTTTCTCCTTTCCTTCGATAACTGATCAATGCATGTCAAAAGATAAAGTCATACGTAAGAACTGTCTAGATACGATAGATAAGACCTTTCTACTTCGAGACAATTTACAATGTGGACGTGCATTATAGTTATACTGTTAACTATCCAGACTTTTTCATGTAAACCAAGTTACAGAGATTACATTCCAAATGGGAACCTTGTTCCCAATCCATGTGTATCACCAGGGATATGGAATGCAGTTGGCCATTACAACCCATTTCATCATACACTTATCAAAAATAAGTTTGGCCGGGTGAGTTTGTCAATCGTTATAAAACATTAAGACTGATTCTTGGAGTTCATTACTTCTTCGCGGGTTTTTTTTTATGTTATTCCGGTTGAAAGGGGAATATAGTATATTTAGTCTGATTAACCTGTTGTATTCTGCAATTGAAATAAGAAAAAAAGTAATGTTGATGGAACTTTCGAACATAACTTTTTTCTTGGATTTGATGTAAATGGATAATATTGCATGGAGCCTTCTAACAATTGTACAAATATGTCCACAATAGTTATCTTTCTTTTATGGTTTGGGGTAAACCACTAACTGAAATTTTATGTATGAGAACAATTTGCACAAAGATAGAGAAATGTCTATGTTGACATATAAGAGTTTTCAGATATACGATATACAAAAGAAAGGTGATGTACTATGTCTGTTTGTTTCGCTCACACAATTTTGTCAATATAATGGAATTATATGCGACTGTCATACAAGTGAGAGGTTTCGCTAGATATAGAACCAGGTTTAATCCACCATTTTCTACATAATGAAATGTCTGTACAAAGTCAGGAATATGACAGTTGTTTTCAGTCGTTTAATGTGTTTGAGCTTTTGATTTTGCCATTTGATAAGGGACTTTCCGTTTTAAATTTTCCTTGGAGTTCGTTTTTTTTGTTATTTTATTTTTTGCTCAATATCGTGACAGATGGTCATATACAATGAAGTAAAGAACTTATATTTCCTTTATATTTTTTCGACTTTGAGCGTTCCTGATGAAGGTACATTCGGAAAAACACGACGGATGTATAACATTTATAAAGTGTTGTTTTCACATTGTATTTCGATGTAAGCAAACTCTTGCACAATTCATGTCTTCATTGACTGTCTATGACGTTAAAAAACTAAATCTCTGGGATGTGTTTTAGTTGATTTTAGTCTCTGATGCATGAATTTTTATTATTTATAGTTTTTGGCTTATAACTAGCTTTCAGTAACTGCGAGTACTCTCAAATGGTACTTTCGTGTTAATTTGACCTGTTGATACAATTTTTAATGTATTTTTGTTATTAAATGTTTACTTATTTAGTGTTATATCTCGTCTCACTATATATATACCACCTTTGATAAGTGTTTAGTATGACGACAAATTTTCACTTTTGTTCTCGTACTAGGAACAACAAAATTATTTATTTTGTAAAAATTATTTCCGTACTCCATGTATACCTTACAACAAAATTATTTTTATTTACCTGTGTACGTTATTTTATTTGCCGGCATTTTTTCCAAGGTTATGGTTGTCTTTCTGATATTGTTTTACATCTAACCCCCTTGTTTTATCAATTTTGTATTTACATTGTGTCATAGATCAAATTTATTCGTTCAGTGTATGTTCACTTGTTTTTGTTAATATGTCTTTTGATTGAGTTAAGCCATTTCAATTTATATTTTATAGTGTGTCTTTCTATATTGTGATGTTACACTATTGTTTCAGGTTGGGGCCTATTAAAATGTTTAAACCCGCTGCATTTGTTTGCACCTGTCATAAGTCAGGAACTTGATGTTCATTAGTTGTCGTTTGTTGATGTGGTTCATATTTAGATTAGACCGTTGGTTTTCCTGTTTGAATGGTTTTACACTAGTCATTTATGTGGCCCTTTATAGCTTGCTGTTCGGTGTGAACCAAGGCTCCGTGTTGAAGGCCGTACTTTGACCTATAATGGTTTACTTTTACAAATTGTGACTTGGATGGAGAGTTGTCTCATTGGCACTCATACCACATCTTCTTATATTTAACTTCAATGCAGATTGTTTTGTAGGTGTCTGCTTGCAATTAAAGACTGTGTAGTAAACATCCCTGGTTTTCAAAGCGTTCTATTTTTCTGGTTAATTCAGAAAAGCGCGTCGGACGCACGGAATTGAAAACGTGTTATTTGCATATAAGTAATTACATGAAGCGTTTTTTTTATCAATTGGTAATTGATAGCTATAAAGATTAACAAAATTTAGCGGACATGCTTGATGAAACAAATATCTGACGACGAATTTGATAACATACTTTTTTCATCTAGTATGCATGATTGATTGGTTACAGTATTTGATCAAACATATTCACGCAGAGAAGTAAAATTTCCAACAGAATTAAAAACAATATATAAGTTTAGTAACATTGGTGTTTGATACCTAGACCCCCTTATGTACATTTTAGGATTTTACGAGAGCGTCAAATTATTGGAGCTTAAGGCTTTGTCGTATGGATTCAGATCGAGACAATAGAACAAATGGAGAGGAACTAGGCGATCCCAATTGTGAATGGTTTGAAGGACAAGTTCCATCTGGTTTACCTATAGGCCATCCTGGTAAGATGCAAATAAAAACCTAAACGTAACAATAATAAATGTAGATGGAACATGAACAATATTATTTTTGTTAATAAATTATTGATGTTTTGCTTTTTCATATTATACCTTTATGTAGAAATACATTAACTAATTGCTTAAGCACTAATGAACCGAGCTAAGTCATATGAATGAACTTTAATTTGTGGATAACTTACATTGCGATATCAGAATTGCAGCAGATTGTGCTTTCCGTGCCGTTTTTATTTCATCTACTGACATGTCGTGTTCATAGGTATTAAGGAAAAGACATGTTTCTAAAAACTTTACATAACCAGTCACATGCGTAAACACAATGTCTGAACAGTCGAACTAAATGGAATAACAAATAATGGAATGTTATTCCAAAATTTAAAAAAATATTTATTAATGATTTAATTCAAGATTTATCATGTATAAAATGTTTTCTCTAAAGATCGGAGAATGGAACTTCTTTTTGACACACCAAGTATCAATATTATCCTTCGAATGATTCAAAATTCATACAGAAGAACAATTTGTGATTTTAGACCAATTTTGAAATAAATCAAAGTTGTTGGAAATTTATGAATCATTAAAACTATGTCACACAGACAATAACTCGAGAGGACCTAAAAAAAAATAAATGAGACCAACGACGATGAAAAACGCTTTTATATAAAAATAGTTCTTTATTCCGTTCTAATATTTCTATAAGATGTCAGTTCTATTGCTTATCGTTAAAAACCTTCCAGTAAAAGAAATGAAGTTCTTGGTGATAAAAAAAAAAAACAACGGTTTCAAGAATAATTTTTTTTCATGTGAGATGTCATGTAATTTTAGAATGGAATGATGTTGGTGTGACGTTCTGTAGACAAAAGCGTTCTCTAAATCTCGTTTCTTTTCTTTTAGGTCTTTGTGAACCAATTGGGAGCCCCCATTGCCTAAGAGAGCAAGGTTTTACCTGTAGTGACTTGGAGAACAGCCCTCATCTTAAACCCTAAACTTATGTTCGTTACTACAATGTTAGCAGTGTCTTGTTTCTTTTTTTTTCAAATAAAAGAATATAAGATCATTAAAGGACTGAAATTTGTTATATCAAAAACGTTGCATTAATTCAAGCTCAATTTTAAAACTATTATCAGTTTTAGCATTTGGTAATTAATATGTCTCTATTTTGACAAAGGGATACATACTGTTTAAGTAGTGATATTTTCTTCATCTTTCATATAACCTTGTCCGAGTTAAATATTTTATAACCAATGACATTGACTTTCGATATTTGGCATGATGGTGTTTAACCATAAGACGGTGTGTCGAATATCAGCAGGAACAAAAACTTCGTAATAGAACCATAAGTGACACAATATATAGTTACACACAATATATGAAATGGGCAGTAATCTATGATATACATGTGTTTTATCATATTTCAAAGTATTTGCACTTCAACACTTATATTAACATCTTTTCGATATAGTATGAATTATTTACTTCCACCCAAAACTTTTCATGTACCGTTTTAACATTATATATGTTTATGATGACATGCGTCCTTTTTTAACCAGATCCAATTGAAATTTTTTTCATTCTTCTGTGTATCTATCCATCGCCCTGATTCGATGGAAAACTTTATGTACCAAAGCCTGAACGTATATTTATTTACTTTATGACCCCTCTTCAATTTAATAAATCACTGTTCTAAACAGAATAATGTCAAGGAATGTGCTTCAGAGAGTTAATCACTTCAGGAAAACATAATGGAATAAACTTTCCCGGAGACGGCGCTTGACAGTAATTTTCATAAAATTAGAAATAAGAAATACCTCTTGTTCTGGAACATACTACATCTCACATAAGCAAACAATCAGTAAATCCAAAAATGTACATGGTTAAAAACTTTAATAGATATAAGAAGATGTGGTATGAGTGCCAATGAGACAACTCTCCATCCAAGTCAAAATTGATAAATGTAAACCAATATAGGTCAAAGTACGGTCTTCAACACGGAGCCTTGGCTCACACCGAACAGCAAGCTATAAAGGGCCCCAAAAATTACTAGTGTAAAACCATTCAAACGGGAAAACTAACGGTCTAATCTATATAAAAAACGAGAAACACTTTAAGAACCACATCAACAAACGACAACTACTGAACATCAGATTCCAGACTTAGGACAGGTGCAAACAATTTTAATGGTACCAAACCTTCACCCTTATCTGAAACAATAGTGTAACATCACAACATAGAAAGACACACTAAAAAAAAATTTCAATTGAAATGGCTTAACTCAATCAAAAGGCATATTAACACCAGTGAACATACACTGAACAAATAAATTTGATCTATGATACAATGTAAATTCAAAATAAATAAACTAAGGAAAGAATAATTAAAGTAACATGTTATACCGCTGTGAAACAATTTAAGAAAAACAATATACTTGAACAAAAATATCAGCCATTTGCAATTACTTTAAACACAGGTAAATGAAAATAATGTTGTTGTTAGGTATACGTGTACAGTTCAAATAGATTATTAATACTCATTTTAATGCCGTTATAAAGTGTACAATTAAAGCGCTGTTCCTTTGCTTTTTATGTGTGTGTGTTTTTTTTTTTTTTTTTTTTTTTTTTTTTTTTGGCTGTGCATGTACAGATTTTGTGCCACATATCCTTTGTTTTTCTATTAATTTATTAGATATCTTGGTATCATTTATAACTAATTTATGCCAAGACATACGAATCTCAATTTGAACTTAACTTAACTTGAATTGAAAATTATTCGAGTTCCGCAGCTATCATTAAATATGCACTTGTTCCAAGTCACGAGCCTGTAATTCAGTGCTCATAGTTGGTTGCATAGGCTCCTGTCATTGTTGACGACCGTACTGTAAATAATGAAATCAACACGTTACATAATTTCATGCGTCCGAACATATAGTTCCTTACTTTCACGTCATTTTGGTTTCTATTGGATTATTGTTTCATTAGCAATTGTACCACATCTCCTTAATTTTGAACAGAACACTTTCGTCTGATTGCAACATTTTCATTAAACCATTATAAAAGAAACTTCCTCTTGGGAAATAATACATTCAATGATTGTCAATACTTAACAAGCCAGGACAAGCGATAGGCTGAACCAGATTTTATGAAAATAAATGTTAACACAATTATCTTTAGAAATTCTAGTTTTAAATTGTTTTGCAATCTCCTTTTGATCAACTATTGCATTGCTTTTACAATTGTGTGAAAAAAGTAAAATAACAAAAATACCGAACTCCGAGGAAAGTTCTTAACGGAAAGTCCCTAAGCAAATGGCAAAATCGAAAGCTCAAACAGAATGCAGTGCATTTCCAGCCAATTTTTTTTTTATTAAAATCCACATTTTATTTTGTCACCATTGGCTGTTCCCTACCCTTGAAGATCATATAAGGCATTGTCTAAAGATAAAATACATTAAATGTTGTATTGATTTTATCAACTTTCTAGTAATTTTAATGACTATCGTTCAAAACCGGCTATACCTTCATATCCCGATTATGATAACTATATATAAATATAGGTTGTAAGCTTTCTGGAAAAGGACCAAAGTATCATTGGCAATTGACAAATGTAGTCAGGTCATTCATTACAGATGCTATTTTATCCCATTGTATAAAATGATATGATATCGAATAATCTGACAAAAAAGTCCTTTATTCCTTATATCTGAGTATTGTGGATATTCGCATAACACATTTGGAAATAAATTCACATATTATAAAAGGGTTGGTAATGCGCCAATATCAAGAATAAAAAACAAACCTCAAGAACTCGCAAAGCGTTTTGTGATTGCACCAGCTGACTAGTAATGTGGTAGTGGTATAACATGAATACTACACGGAAGTTCCTCAGAAGGCAATTATAAGGTATACTACATGCAATGCCGACCTAAGGCCTCATCTGAACATTTGAAGGCATGGATCCCTACTATGTATTGATTAACTACAGTACACAAAGAAACCTTCAAATACTGTTTCTCCTCAGCTTCAAGTAAGTGTTCTACTACTAATCCTTCTGCGCTTTTAACTAGATCCCTTACTTAAATTAGAGATCTTGTTTTTGCAGAAAGAAAAAACATGTGAAAATGATTGAATTGAATATTTTTTTAATGTAAAAACATATTAAGAAGTTTTTAGATAATTTACGTGCTTTTGGTGGTCTTTTCAATTCAGTTGACATGCATGACTTTTCGACACTGTACGATACACTTCCTCACATTCTTCTCAAACAGAAGTTTCCTTCCTTTAATTAAATGGTTATTAGAAAATTCTGATTGCAGACTTATTTGCTGCAACTCATTTAAAACCTTCTTGCAAATTTTCAACTTGACAACATTTAAGTACGTTTCGGCTCTAAAGTTAATAGACAGACTGGAGGTGTTTCTATGGGCACCGACCAATTGCACCCTTCTACTAGCATACTTGTTCGTGTGTTGTTATGAATCAGAATTATGACAAAACTCAGTAAAGCTCCGTCTTAATTCCATTTAATTAATAAATTTGATTACACTTACAATTAACAAATGATATGTTTGCTCTAGATAAGCACAAATTCCCAAATTAAACTGCTGAAATTTACCCAAAGCAATAGTAGTCCTTTTCTAGATTTGGAGATTTCAGTTTCACAGAGGAAAACCAAGAACATATTTTCCACAAAGGATGCGATTGTTCGTTCCATATTGTTTATCGCCCTTTTTGGACAATGCAATTCCTTTTGCCCCTTCTAACGATGTGTATATTTTCAAACTCGCTCGTGTCTGCAGAGAAGTTTTAGATTTAAATGGACGTAATCTATGTAAACCAGTAAAACTATTAAGTCAGTGATTTCGATATTATAAATTACTTAAATGTGTTACTAACTTATTTCATAGGAACGTTTGGCTGTACCTAGAATTCTTATCAAAAACGGGATATTAAATGCTAATTTGTACAGTAATGTTCTTCATTAATTCTGTAAATTTAGATACGATATAAGTAAACCTATAGATCCTATGAATAAGTTTTATACTTATTCTTATAGAATATCAATTTAACAACATTGTAAGATCTTAAATTATTGTTTTATCGATACAGATATTGATTTGCTTTTGATTAATTTAAACATAAATAGATATGTCTTGCTATACATTTATGAAAACGTATAGCTCTGCATCCTGTCGATAGCATTAACTTCTATTTTGACATTGAACAAGATCATACCATTCTCATACTGTTGATGACATCTTTTCACTTAATACATTGGATATGAACTGATTAGTGCAACAGTCTAGGAGAACATGATTTATCTATTGTAGTTGTTATTAGATTTGAACTAGCTTTCAGTAACTGTTAGAACACTTAGATTGACACGTTGTTTTTTCTGTCTTTATATTCGTTGTTTTTGCGCTACATGTCTATCTGTTGACGCAAGACATTTCTAATTTTTTTTTTTCTTCAATTTTTCGTATGTTGTGCTGTTAAACTAATGTACCAGGTGAGGGTGATGGTCGAGCGCTTACAAACATGATTAACCCCATCATCTTCTACTAAGGCCTTTCCCAAGGTAGGAGCTTGTAATTCAGTGGTTGTCGTTGGTTGCTGTTTGTCATCTTTGTTTTCAGTTATTGTTTTATTATCAATCATGTCGTTAGTTTTTTGTTTGAATTGTTTTACATTTTGTCATGTCGGAGCCTGTAATAGCTGATTATATTGCATGGGTTACTGTATGGGAGCCTGTAATAGCTGATTATACAGTATGGGTTACTGTATGGGAGCCTGTTATAGCTGATTATACAGTATGGGTTACTGTATGGGAGCCTGTAATAGCTGATTATACAGTATGGGTTTGAAGGAGGTACGGTGAACTATATTTGCTTAAATCCGCTTGATTATTTTAATTTTTCATTGGCATTCATACAACATCTCTTTGTTTTATAACATGGCCATTGTATCGGGGTATAAAACATAGAGGTAAAACATTTCAAATGGTTGTTTTATGTCTTGTATTGTAAATATTTATAGAGTTTCAGTTTATTTATAGTAGTTACGTTTTATCTTTTAATACTGCTGTAGTTGGTCTCGAGAAAAAATTGCTATTGTATGGTGTATTTTTTTTGTTTTTTTTAGTTTTTGTGAAAAGAGTTATTACACGGCATACTATTTAACTGAATAACGACAGTTTAAATTAAAAAAATTGTAAGTAAACATTCAATACTTCTTCTTGTGCAGGTGTGAAGCATAGTTTGTGTTTGGGAAAAGACGTAGTGCATGATTAAACAAATGAATATCGATATCTAAATTTGTATTTTAAATTAATCTAACTATTATTAAAGCCTCAGTTGTCGAAGTAAAATATACAATTATATTCGTCACTCGAATTTATTTTCAGAACGTGCTGGTCGCGAAGAAGTTATAAAAAAATCCCCCAAAAAAATATTTTCACCATCTGCATGGAAACAGAACTAGTATCGGTGCTTCATCGATGACAGATGACACTTTTGTGCTGAAAAATAATTTTCCCGGGCTCAGTTCTGCTTACGTTACGGAATTACAGAGTTATTTTGCAAACGATATAAACGGGCATTCCATTCAATCCCCGAATGGCTCTTTTTGTTATGAATCTGGCGAAATTTTAGGTGAATGGCAACACGGTAAAAAAATAACGAACAATAAGTGCAACGTGCTTAACACACAGATGTAACGTAATCGACATCTAGTGACCAGAGAAAACATTACAAGGGACCACTTTTAATTTGCAGTGAGGTGTCAGCTTTTGTTCCGTTTTCAATGTGACTTTGAGATGTAGAGCATTGAAATTGGCCCTTTCTTTGCTTTAGGTCTATCTAGTTCTTGTGTCATGAATTCATACCCTTTACCCTTTTTTTATCATTGCAGATCAGTGTAGGTACCGGAAATCCCGTTCAAACGTGATTTGTCTTCTTTATGGAAATTCAAAACGGTTCTCTTGAATTGAAAAAAAAACATATTGACTGCCAAAGTAACATGCTATTTTTAAATATTTCAAAATTCATAGTATGCATATTATTGTTTAGTAACAACAATGGTCGTGTATGTTACGACGTATTTTTGTTAAAATCAACAAAGACCTATCGAAACATCTGATACGAAAATTTATGAACACTTTAAGATATTTGGATGATATGTTGGCTCTCAATAATGACAAATTTAAATAGTATGTACACTAAAGATATTTATCCTGTTGAACTTACTTCAAATAAAGCTTATACTAACAATGAACACTGTCCTTTCCTCGATCTTGATATATGTATCTTTTACGGGTAGCTTAATACTAAAATTTACAATAAAAGAGATGATTTTTCAGTTCCTATTGTTAACTATCCGTTTTAAGATAGTGAAGTTCCCTCGGTACTGTCGTATGGTGTTGATATATCTCAACTTGTTCGATTCGATCGTGTATGTAACAACGTATTTGATTTTAACGAAAGAGATCTCTGTATTACTGAAAAATATTACACATCTTATATGTTCAGGTTTGGTAATATTCTATACAAAGCACAAAAATGTCGTCATTCACCTAAAAAGCTAACCAAACCTTTAATCAGATTTATTCGAAAGGTATATAGTTACGATACTGTTGTCAAGTCATTAAAGATGGCTTTTTTGGAATTAATATTAATTCACTCATGGTGTCTTTGCATACCAAATATTTATTTGCAACATCCTTTCAATTCCTATTGACAACATGTATGAGAAATTAAATTGTAAAATCTCTAGAGGAATATTAACTATCGATTAACTCAAACTGATAGACTTCCAGGTACATGTTCCAATATCAATATTCAACTTGAAAACCGCCTTGATGGTCTCATGGTAGAGTGTTCGCCTTGAGTGCGAGAGGTCGTGGGTTTGAATCCCGGTCGGGTCAAACCAAAGACTTGAAAATTAGTATTTACTGTTTCTCCGCTAAACACGCGGCATTAAAGAATAAGAGCAAATACTGATTGGCTTGGAGTCAGAATAATGGGTCCGGGAAGGGTGACATGCCTTACTGGGACTGTTTTATTGTGAACTATAACGTTAAAAATCCGGCTCAGCGTGTCGGTCTAGAACAGAGCAGGGTTATTAGTCTGTTTTCGTCCTGAATATGCCTTTACTTTGCCCCTATCGTCTATAATCATCATTATCAATTAAAAAAGAAAAGCAGGAACCAGATTTTACTTGCAATTTTGATATAAATGTTGAACAGTCAGTAATTATTACATAATCAACTGAATTTAACGGACGACTGTGCATCAACCTGCAAGACAGAGGGATATCTGATATCGCACATGGCAAATAACTGAAGAATAATATGTACGTGTTGTATATACCATTTTTATTTATCTTTTGAATATTTTCGTTATAATTATTGTTGTATCTAATTTATCTTCAAATAAATAATTTGGGTACAGATATATATGTGAAAGATCGTGCAAAAAAGAGGCAGAAAAGAATTCATCCAGTTGATTAGAAGAGATGTAAATGACATTGTATGAAAGATGACCGCTTTGTATCTAAAAACCCTTAAAGCAGTAAGAGTTACAGGATAAATACTTTAAAAAAAAGAACATTGGCAAGAATTTTCAAAGATAATTTGATAGAAAAACAGTGTTTTCAAAAATATAAAAAGGAAAGAAGAATAGAAATAATGTTTGCTTTACAATAAAGTTTTACTATAGTTCGTGCATCACTAGACCTTGATCGGCTTTGTATTTTAGAAATATTTATCTATCTTTTTATTAAGCTATTGTTATGTAATTTAATGTCATGTATTAAGACTTGCATTTGATACCGAGTTTTTACAACAGCTGGTCCTTCATCAAGTACACTTGAGGTCCGGTGTTTTTACAACAACTGGTTCTTCATCAAGTACACTTGAGGTCCGGAGTTTTTACAACAACTGGTTCTTCATCAAGTACACTTGAGGTCCGGAGTTTTTACAACAACTGGTTCTTCATCAAATACACTTGAGGTCCGGAGTTTTTACAACAACTGGTTCTTCATCAAGTACACTTGAGGTCCGGAGTTTTTACAACAACTGGTTCTTCATCAAGTACACTTCAGGTCCGGAGTTTTTACAACAACTGGTTCTTCATCAAGTACACTTGAGGTCCGGAGTTTTTACAACAACTGGTTCTTCATCAACAACTGGTTCTTCATCAAGTACACTTGAGGTCTGGAGTTTTTACAACAACTGGTTCTTCATCAAGTACACTTGAGGTCCGGAGTTTTTACAACAACTGGTTCTTCATCAAGTACACTTCAGGTCCGGAGTTTTTACAACAACTGGTTCTTCATCAAGTACACTTGAGGTCCGGAGTTTTTACAACAACTGGTTCTTCATCAACAACTGGTTCTTCATCAAGTACACTTGAGGTCTGGAGTTTTTACAACAACTGGTTCTTCATCAAGTACACTTGAGGTCCGGAGTTTTTACAACAACTGGTTCTTCATCAAGTACACTTGAGGTCCGGAGTTTTTACAACAACTGGTTCTTCATCAAGTACACTTCAGGTCCGGAGTTTTTACAACAACTGGTTCTGCATCAAGTACACTTGAGGTCCGGAGTTTTTATAACAACTGGTTCTTCATCAACAACTGGTTCTTCATCAAGTACACTTGAGGTCCGGAGTTTTTACAACAACTGGTTCTTCATCAAGTACACTTGAGGTCCGGAGTTTTTACAACTGGTTCTTCATCAAGTACACTTGAGGTCCGGAGTTTTTACAACAACTGGTTCTTCATCAAGTACACTTGAGGTCCGGAGTTTTTACAACAACTGGTTCTTCATCAAGTACACTTCAGGTCCGGAGTTTTTACAACAACTGGTTCTTCATCAAGTACACTTGAGGTCCGGAGTTTTTACAACAACTGGTTCTTCATCAAATACACTTGAGGTCCGGAGTTTTTACAACAACTGGTTCTTCATCAAGTACACTTGAGGTCCGGAGTTTTTACAACTGGTTCTTCACCAAGTACACTTGAGGTCCGGAGTTTTTACAACAACTGGTTCTTCATCAAGTACACTTGAGGTCCGGAGTTTTTACAACAACTGGTTCTTCATCAAGTACACTTGAGGTCCGGAGTTTTTAAAACAACTGGTTCTTCATCAAGTACACTTGAGGTCCGGAGTTTTTACAACAACTGGTTCTTCATCAAGTACACTTGAGGTCCGGTGTTTTTACAACTGGTTCTTCATCAAGTACACTTGAGGTCAGGTGTTTTTACAACAACTGGTTCTTCATCAAGTACACTTGAGGTCCGGAGTTCTTACAACAACTGGTTCTTCATCAAGTACACTTGAGGTCCGGAGTTCTTACAACAACTGGTTCTTCATCAAGTACACTTGAGGTCCGGAGTTTTTACAACAACTAGTTCTTCATCAAGTACACTTGAGGTCGGGAGTTTTTCTTTTGGTAAATTTATTACACAGACGAAAGCATTAAAACCAAGAAGACTATCTGCAACTTTGACAGCAAGACAAGGTGTTATCAAAACGAAGCTTTCATAAGTCGACAAAAAACACGATGTATTGTGGATTTTCTTTTTTATATATGTTTGAGTTCATATTTACTATCTAAATATATCGTACACAATGACAAAGTTATCTATTTATAATCAATCGTGCTTTAGGTGTAACTTAGTTCTTATCTTATCACCTGTTTACTTACAACCCCAGAGAAACTTCCTGATTTAAGACAGCTAATTGCAATGTTCGGCCAATCTGTTTTGGAATGTACCCTTCTTTTTCATGTGACGTCAAACAATAAATGAAATTATTGTCTATTCACGTATTGCATTTTTCATTATGATTTCCTTGAGAGAGGGTTGCTCTTTACTAAAAAAGCTAATAATCCAAGAGTTCCAAGTGGTGAAGTTGAGGTTATCTCTTCCTTCGAAAATTTTACTGACGCCATCATGAGTTGCCTGACCGTTATGGAATATCTGTTTCGGTGATGACGGCGGGTATGTTCTAATTGTCGCAACTACAATCCCTTCCTCTGTACCTAGAATGTAAAATATCCAGTAAGACTTATCACCGGGCTTGTACTTATATGAGCAACACGACCGGTGCCACATGTAGTGCAAGATCTGCTCAACCTTCTGAAGCATCTGAGATCACTCATAGTTTTTGGTGGAGTTCATGTTGCTCAGTCTTTAGTTTTCTATGTTGTGTCTTTCGGATTTTTGTTTGTCTTATGGTCGTTTTTCGCTTTTGTCATAGCATTGTCAGTTGGTTTTCGACTTATGAGATTGACTATCCCTTTGGTATCCTCCGCCTCTCTTTTATTTACTATAATAAAATTTATTTTTTTGTTGACGAATAAAAAATTCAAACACATGAAAAGAATCAATCTGATGGGTATCTAAAAGTCTGAATTAATTTTGTTAACATTATGACAACAAAAAATGAAATTTATTCAAAACATAAAAAATGCCGATATTGCTACGAGACGTTTGTCATAGATCTGACTCAGATGTCCAATAACAGTCAACACAATTACTATTTGATCGTTTTGACGAGAATAAGTGTAGTCAATTTTTTAATGTAGGTTGGGGGGGGGGGGGGGGGGGTAATTAGGAACTGTTTAACTCCATGCTTAACTTTACTCATTTTTTAACACTCTGTATTTCGTATTAAAACAATCTCTATTGTAGTGGTTCGTTTATTTAACTAGATTATAAATTTTAATGATTTTCTACCCCAGGAAGGTTACCTTAGCGGTTTTTGGCAAACGTTTAGGAATATTGGGTTTTCAATGCTCTTCGACTTCTCACCTAATGAGTCTTTTATAGACGAAACACGCCTCTGGCGTACAGAATTTCAATCATGGTGTTGATTAAATTGAAAATGGAAGAACAATTATAATGTTGTACTAACTCATTGCAAAATAATCAAAATAAAATCGGATTTATGTAAATGATGAATCGATTAATATCATATTAAAATTTCCTCTGAGTCTTTAAAATTTATACTTTATTAAACGGTTGTGATTTACATAAGTGATGTAATGACTATATTGATGTCTACGGCGTACATTTTATTGACTTCTGTTTATAGTTATATGTTACATTATTGAATAGCAGCGATCCTTATTCAAAATAAATTGTTATCACAGAGATATGTCTCGCCTTTTTGTAATTTTGATAATGCAAATGTTCAAATTGAAATAGCAATACTTTAACATGTAAGTTATGCAAATATTCAAAGTCGATGAACCAATACTGAAGGTACAGGGCTAAACAATCTCCATGAAAATGAGATGTGCCAATGCTAATACAACTGTATACCAAATACCATTGACTTATTATAAGTCGTTCCCTTAAAACAAACCTAAACACAAACATTAACTTGTAAACTATGTAAAAGTTTCAAAGTCAATGAACCATGATGAGGGGGTGGGGCTATATAATCTCCATGGAAACGACACTTGCAGATGCCAATAAATTTGCATACCAAATATCATTGACTTAACATTAGCAGTTCATCTAAAACTGACCTAATCACAAACTAATACATGTAAACTAAGCAAAAGTTTCAAAGTCAATAGACCATAACTAAGTGAGCGGAGCCAAATAATCTCCATGGAAACGAGATATGCCAATGCTTATACAACTGCATACCAAATATCATTGACCTACCACTAGTGGTTTCCCATAAACTGACCTAATCACAAACTAATACATTGTTGACGCAGCCGACGCCGACGCCGAAACCGGAAACAGCATACAATACGTGTGTATTGTAGTCAAGACGCCATCTAACCAGATATAAATATAAATATAAATATCATCATTATATATAGATATCGAACACGTGCAATTGCATTTTTCTAGGTCTAGGTTTCATATCATAGGTAAAACGAATATGCTAATTATCATTTTTACTTGTATAAGAATGATTCTTTGTGGATCTATTCTGTCAATAAATGGTTAACCCTTGTTTCACTTTCAACGTTGACATTAGTTTCCTTTTAGTAGCTGAACACGCCTAGTACATGCGTTACCCAACTCTAGCTAAAGGAACATGAATACGAGTTCAATGAGGTTAAATTATTGACTTGCAAGTCAATAATACATCAGCGATGTTTTTGAGCTTATTTGACAAATTTGGGCCAAACTGGCTGCTTATAACAAATACTATTTCAAAATTCCGCTTTTATTAATGCTTTTTACTGCAGTTTATTCCGCCCCATTTGGTCATCAAAGGCCAATAAAACCGAAACCCAACTTAATGAAAAGTTAAAAATATCGTCCAAGGTGACCACCGGTCTGATTATTGTGCATTTTAATTCAAGCCAAGGACTCTTAACAGAGCTATCATATGAGAAAAATGAAAGAGCAATTTCTTCATAATTTCTATATTTATCAACGAAAAATGTATGTTATAAATCACGTCAGTGGCGAAGCACAACTATCGTAAATGTATTTGATGCGACAGACTTAAGGTCGATCGCTATGGACCTAACGCATACCTGCCTTTTGCATATGCAAAATTCTGAAGTCGCCTTTGTATCGATATGACGAGTTAAGCCTTTTTTAACTCATATTTACAGTTTTTTCTTATGTTGTGCTGTTACACAACTCTCCCATGTTAGGGTGAGGGTTGAGCGCTCACAAACATGTTTAACCCCGCCACATTCTTTATGTGCCTGTCCCAAGTCAGGAGCCTGTCGTTCAGTGGTTGTCGTTGGTTCATGTCTGAAATATTTGTTTTTCGTTCATTGTTTTTTTATAAATTAGGCCGTTAGTTTTCTCAATTGAATATTTGTCATGTCGGGAGCTTTTATAGCCGACTGTACGGTATAGGGTTTTCTCATTGTTGAAGACCGTATACGGTTGCCTATAATTGCTTACATCCACCTCATTTGAACTTTGTAGGATAGTTGTCTCATTGGCAATCATACCTCATCTTTCTCATTTTTATAAAAATCCCACACACAAATAAATTCAGACATGAATACAATAATTTTGATTTATTTTCGAATACATTGGCAGATGTTTTGCTATTTAATGCAGTTGAAATACCAATTCAGTTGCACTATATGCACCCGAGTTCACTTCCGGATTGCCATATTATGAACGTTTGATTTGGAATTATTGTAACCTCTTCTATACATTTCATTTGTTTTCTTATATAATCTTTTCCCACAAGAGCCAAAAAGGGCAATTTGTATAATGCTTGCAAAGTTTAAGACTGTTCATCCTAATTTTGTTCTTGATTTAACAGTAATTGTTTTTAAAAATTTCATCCAGATTATCAATGAAAAATAGCTTATAACATCTAATCGTTTTCAAATGTGTTTATGTAAACAAAAACAGTGAATTGAACATCGGACAAAACAGAAGGTACCGATATTGGATCCAATGAATCAATCAGTTAGGTGGTGCATTTAACTAGTCAACTAGGAGTTGCTTGAAAAAGTTTAATTCGGCTTATCAATGAAAAGTAGCTTATAACATGATTGCATTTTATTAATTCTTATCGCTTTCAAATATGTCTATGTAAAAAAAAAACACTGAATGAAAGTATTAATAGTTTTTATAAAGATTTGTTCTAAAATGTTCAGCACAACTCTCGTTCATGCTTCATACACACTTACCTACTTAGCATTAACACTAATTTTCCATAAAATGAAGGTTCCAAATCTAAAACCCATGTGTTAAGGATTGTATATTCAAATGTTGCATTACATATACATTTCGCTTTCTTTTACACAATGATCCCAAGCAACATAGTTTTATGTTGCAAGCGTTTTTACATGGTGGTCTGTTCAAAAAATAATATAAGTAAGGATTAATAGTTGAATTCATATATCCAAGCCACGTTATCACTAGTACGGTAGTTTCTCCTGCTTTATAATTAATCAATGGGTCTACTATGTTCAATACGAAGAATGGCAGCCAACAAAGAAAGAAGCAACTTAACATAGTTGCAATGGTTCGAGCCACTTTAACTTCTCTCTTCATCAATATTTCGTTTTGTTGTAAAATACATTTACTAAGTTTGCACAAATTCCTTCGATTTTTTCGAACATTACGCAAAATCTTCAGATTGCAAACTAACATAAAAACAGACGGTATATAAAAAACTGCAGTACTGCATATAACAGCATAGTAAATATTGACCAAAAACATACATGTGTTCGGACATTTTGTTATTGTTTGTATTCCAATATTATGCACTTCTCCGAAGATCAAACCAAATGAAATAACAACTGGAAGTATCCAACATATGATGAGTAAAGCTGTCACAGAACGATTACACATTAAATTATGATATCTAAATGGTAAACAAATAGCTATGTATCTATCAACGGTCATACACATAAGATGGAGAATAGATGTACTTGTAAACATGACATCTAAACTAAACGACAACAAGCACACCGATCTTAAGGTAAGCCAAGACATATTTCCGAACTGTTGTAGAATTGAAAATGACATCACAAAGATCGCAACAGCTATGTCTGTTACTGCCAATGAAACGACGAAGACATTGGCCTTTTGTCTAAATTTATGGCGTTTTAGTACAGTAAATATAACTAAAATATTTCCCGCAATAGTTATACAAGGAAAACACGACAAAAATATAATCAACACTATATCTTCTGTAACTAATTTGTCAAATGTGGTATTTGCGCAAGTTACGTTGTTCATGTCTGGTTTATATTCTTCAAATACTGTTTTAAATCACACTATGACCCTGAAAAATGAAACAAAGCATTTGTTAAAAATACTTTTTTCTAAATTTAAAAATTATATATAAAATTTTGGTTTATTGGATTAAAATGAATTCAAAATTGCAAATGAGTTTTCCAAGTTTACGTACGAGTTCAAGTTTTCATTCTAGCAAAATTTCATTTTTTTCAATTCTCTGTATGAAAATATCAATTCTATTCACAGTTTAGGGCAAATAGTTTACCACTGGAGAGACATTATTATAAATTAATATAAATTTCCTTAAATTTTAATCACCTGATGCTTTGTTCCGACTATAATCGTCCTCTGAAACATTATAAGATATTTGCCGATTAGTATCTTTTCTATATCAATAACCCATGCAATGCAACACTGGACAAATGAAATTCCCGTAGAATCAGTTATTTTGTTTATCTGAAGTAATTGTATCCTGTTAAACTTATGACATGTGCCCAGGGTCTGAAGCATTATCTTTGTTCGCGTGAAAAATGACGCATTGATTCTAGCGGGAAAATAACTTTGTTTATCAATTAAAGTATTCTCACTCATATAAATCTGTTGATATCCTCCAAACAGATAATATATGATTAGAGACACACGCTTTGCATAACCAATACATACATCTAAGCCATTTCTACATCACTTCGATATGAAATATTCTATTTATATGCGAGGAATATAAATCAACTCGACGTGACAGTGTAAGAAAACTGTATGTTATAAGTTTGATAACATCATGGGTTACAACATTAGATATGACGTATATGATCATGTATTGTTATGATGTTGGTGCTTTGGACTTAGTTACTTTATGAGTGGCAAGCATAAAAAAACCACTGAATTCAAAATTTCCATTCTATTGTTGAATGATAATGTTTAAGTCATGCGTCTACAAATATGTTAGTAGTGTTTTCCGTTATTAAAGTGAATCAAAACAATCTTCAATAGGATTAAAATAACTGAACGTAATACAGGGGTTCTGGTTATAACAAGATTGCACCCTGTATACAGCTTACCTTTTGCTAAAATGTCATTCTTCCTCAAATTGAAATCTTAATCAATATCTGACTATGTGTTGTCACATAATAGATATTGTGGACAAATTATGTATAAAATGTAACCCTTGTTTCATTATTATGAGAACAATGTGTTACAATTTTAAATGTTACTAAAACAGCTGTTGGAAAAATATGCTTGCCAATCATAATATAAATATGGAATTGTTTTTGGTAAAACTTTGCGGAATTTTTGTTTTTAATTATTTGGTTTGGCCTTTCATCTGTTTTATTCGAACGCCACTGATGTGTAGACGAAACGCATGTTCGGATTTCAAATGATTGGCATTGAGCGTTCCTGATGAAGGTAAATCCAGAAAAGCGCTTCGGACGCATGAAATTATTAAACGTGTTGTTTTCAATTTTTTTTTTACTACCATAGTATACGCTTGGTATCTTTGATATGCTTTACCTTATAGACATTCGATTCCAGGTTATCTGATATGCCTACATCTATATTCATTTGAAGGCAATTTTTATGTCCTTTTTTGTATTTTTGGGTTGCCTGTATAAATGACCATTTATGTGATCATATTGCTTTGCCCGGATCTTTTTCTCGTGCTTAGACTATATATAGAGACAATGAAAACCGTCTGATTTAAAAAAAAAAAAAAAAAAAAAAAAAATTGTTAATTGTGTTTTAATTTAGTAAATTTTGGTTGAGTCTGAAATTGCATGGTGGGTAATAAATGCATAGTTCGAGACGCTTACATCTACCACGTTGCATTATACCTTTTTTAAAGTTTATGCAATCAGGGTTTTTTGGTTTGAATATACAAAATATATGAACGAATTCTTAGTTTGAGAAAAAAAAAAAAAATGAAATGAAGGTTCCCAAATATCATGCATTAAGGATTTCATTTGTTAAAATATTTTGTTACAAAATTTAAAAAATCTGTATTAAAATTTAGTTTATCGAATTTTAACGAACATTAATAGCATTTACATAGTGACTTAAAAATCGTAGTGCTTATGAAATAACAATTGTCTTTATTCCCCTTCATTGGAAACGCTTAAACTCAAACATTTGAAAGTCTACTTAAGGTACTTGAGTTAACAATTTCATTATAGTGAAAAGTTTTTCTAATTCTATTTGTTAAAATATCAATTTCATGCACAGTTTCAAGCAAACTGTTCTCTCTTGGCAAAACAGTATCACTCAATTATATTACTGATTTTTGTGAAATTCGATCATTTTATGCGTTGGGCCCCATGATAATCGTATTCTGAAACGTTATTCAGATTTTTGCACATTTATATCTTGTCTGTATAGATAAAGGCAACAGTAATATACCGCTGTTCAAAAGTCATAAATCGATTGAGAGAAAACAAATCCGGGTTACAAACTAAAACCGAGGGAAACACATCAACTATGAGAGGAAAACAACGGAACAACAAACATCCTTTCAATGCAATACAGTAGAATGAAATATCAGCAGAATCAGAAATGTTGTCAATCTGAAATGATTGTAGCCTCACATGACATGTGCTGAGGGTTTCAAATATTATCTTTGTTCGTGTGAAAAATGAAGCATTTATTCTAGCAGGCAATCAACGTTTATATCAGTAAAAGATTTATCAATCAAACGAATCTGTTGATATCCTTCATACAGATAATATATTATTAGAGACACACGCTTTGCATAATAATTACAAACATTCAAGCCATTTCTACAACACTTCGATATAAAATAGTCTAATAACATGTGAGGAAGGTTTAATTTCTCAAATTGATAAATTGTGCTCGACGTTACACTAAGAAACGTTGATGTTATAAGTTTGATAACATCAATAGTTATTGCAGCAGCTAGCTACATGTATTAAATGATATATATAATCAGTTATCATTTATCTAGATTAAAAGAGAGGCGCCGGATACCAAAAGGACATTCAAACGTTAACTCATAAGTCGAAAATATACTGACAACGCCATGGCTAAAAAAGAAAAAGACAAACAGATATAGACAAACAACAGTACACAAAACAACATAGAAAACCAAAGACTGAGCAACACGAACCCCACCAAAACCTGGGGTGATCTCAGGTGCTCCAGAAGGGTAAGCAGATCATGTAAATACAAACCCGGTGATATGTCTAATTCGTTAGGTCACATTCGGGAAAAAGGGACGAGATTGTAGTTACGACAATTGGAACATATAAGCCGTCATCTGTGACAGATATTCCATAACGGTCAACTAAATCGTGATGGCGTCCGTAAAATTTACGAAGGGATGATTTCAACTTCACCACTTGGAACTCTTGGTTTAATAGCTTCCTTGTGAGCAGCAACACTCAATCAAAGGAAATCATGATAGGAAACACAAGCCCTGGAATATCGTATCAACTGGGAGATATATACTCCGTATGCAGGCGCTGTTGGAATGCTGCTACATAGAAATTTTCATCTTTCGTACATTATAAACCTATATCAGTAGCTTTGTGGGTTGGCACCTAAAAGACAATGCTTGTTTTTGAAAAAAAAGTCTTTCATTGGTAATTAGCCGAAAACAATCGCTACTTTTTCCGTAAAAGACAAAGTAATTGTCTAGGGATCCCAGCTCTTTTTCAAATATAGAGGTGTAGGTTAAATCTGCTGCCTCCATTTAATGAATTATATATGTTAGCTAAATTGACCCTCACCTTGAACTAACCGATACTCAAACGTAACACAAAAACTTAACCTTACAACTTAACCCTAACCTACAAACAAACAATAATCTTTCCCTATATGCTTTTGTTGTTGTTCAGTGTTTCTGTTGTTCCGGTGTTTTCCTCGTATAGTTGACGTGTTTCCCTCGGTTTTAGTTTGTTACCCGGTTTAGTTTTTGCTTAATCGTATTATGACTATTGAACAGCGGTAAACTACTGTTGCCTTTATTTACCCTAACCCTGAACTGAATTCTAATTCTATTAGTAACTACTGGGAGTGGGATTTGCTCATCGTTAACGATCGAACTGTGACCAGTAATTGTTCACATGTTTGTTCTTTGATCTATGGATAATTGTTTTATTGGTAATATTACCATATCTTCATTTTTATTGTCTGTAGAACTATTTATGATGTTGGAATTTCTTTGAGCTAGTTAATTAAGTGTCATCCCGCTTTTCCCGGTTCGAGATTCATAATTTAATTTGTTTGTTAAGTTTTGTACTCAATCGATTGTCTAGTTGTTATTTTTTTACAATGATGGTCTTTCTCCTTTACTGATTGTCCTTAAGGTCTATTCATTTAAAAATGAGGAAACTCAAGGAAACGCTCCCTAAGTATAATCTGAAATGCAATTGAAGGTATTGATCGGTTGGTTACTACTTTATTTCTATGGCATAAACCAGAGGCTACAATAATTCTGATTTGCCTACCACCTTTACTCATTCTCTCATCATAATAATCAACCACTATAAGCTGGAGATAGAGATCATTAAGGTTTATCGTCATTCACCCTAAAGGCTAACCAAACCTTTAAACAGACATATTCAGAAGGGATATAGTTACGATACTGTTGTTGATTCACTCATAGGGTCTTTGCATAGGAAATAAACACATTTATTCTAAAACAACTTGTTGATACGGGTTATGTTCTTCTCATATATTTTTTGATGGTATGATACTAAACCCCTAACGGGAGGGATTGTGCTTAATGTTCATATGATGAAGACATACTCTTTCAATCAGTTTAACTGAGGTCTGGAGCTGGCATGTCAGTAACTGCTTGTAGTCCATTGTTCATTTATGTATCATTGTCATTTTGCTTAGTTTCTTCTATTACCTATTCTGACATCGGACTCGGACTGCTTTTAAACTGAGATTTACTATGCGTATTGCTGTGCCTTTGTTTATCCTACATTGGCTAAAGATATAGGGGGAGGGTTGAGATCTTACAAAACATGTTTAACCCCGCCGCACTTTTGCGCCTGTCCAAAGTTAGGAGCCTCTGGCCTTTGTT